AATTCAAGTCGCAAAGAAAAGGAGAAAATTCTTCTTCTCTCTCTCTCTTCCCCCCTCTCCTATGGATTCGAAACAATAAACTTCGAAAATTGTCCCTAAAGATTTCTACATCAGCCAGTTCTATTCTACGAGCGATGCCACGATGAACAAAGAGGGGGGAGGCGAAAACAATCGCGAAGTGTCCAAAGTTGTCGGGCGGAATTACGCGACCAATATCGTCAGATGTCTCATCGATCTCGAAAGTTTGCAAATTGCTTCGAGCAGCCCTTTAGTTTCTCCAACTCCCCACTCTCCTCCCTTCCTGAATCCAGCGGAGTACACGAGACGAGATATCGAGTCGTAAAAGTACACGAGGCGATCGATCGATCGATCGATCGATCGAGTCGAACTGCGGTTGATCCGAATTCGAAATTTGTGCGCAAAAAAGATATTCGGATTTCTCCGACGTAAAACGTGATTTTTTGTGCCTTATTTTTGAAAAAATGGAAAAACCCGTTCGTCGATCGGATGCTTTTGAGGCTTCTGTTTGAGCGAGGGAGTTTGGCGGATGTTTGGCTCGTAGAATTGATAGCTACGATAGATTGTGCGATGATGATTTAATTAACATTATATTCGTTATCAAGAAAGAATTTTTGTGCTTTGTGATTAGTATAAAAATTAATATTTGAAATTAATTAATGATTCTTCGTAGTTAATATACAACAAATTTTATTGGAAGGTTGATTTTAGAGAATAGAAAAAATTGATGTAGAAAAATGTTGATTCAAGTTATTTATATATATATTAGATAACTTAAATTGCTTACAACTTAATAAATAAGTTTCCTACATCTCTATTTCACATCAACTCGTATATTATTTCTCTAGAATCGATCCTTCAAAAGATGTCCCGCTATATTTCAAAATATTTTCAAAAGCATATCAAAGATAAACTTGAACTTCAACATTAATTCCATATTTTTCTTCGAAAAAAAAATGACAAGAGATTCCACTTCCGAAAGATCTTACCGTGCATCTCTTGATAAAATTTCTTTTTCTATTTTTTTATTTACCTCAACAAAAAAAAAAAAAAGAAATAGAAAAATCCGAAAAGGAAGGAGGAGAACGAAATTATGGAGGAAATAAAACTTGCCAAACGCCACCAAGTTAACCTCTCTCCCTGAGCATCCGATCGCTCGAACTCGAATTCAAACTCTCCCCACCACCCTCACCAAGTGTACCCCGAAAAAAAGCGCGTGTCACGTGTGTGTCACATTTTTTTTTTTTTACACGGCACAGAGAAACCGCGCCGTTCACGGCAACGGTCCCCGGGCCCTCCTTAGGTGGAGTATAAAACTCTTAAACTCTCTAAGGTATCAGTATCGTGTCACCTGTGATGGCGATCTTGCAGGACCACTTGCTTGTACCCTCAAGGACGATCTGTTCGGCCTGCTCGAGGCTGTCTATGTGCGTGTCCGGGTCGACTGAAAACGTCGTGCTGAAAAGAAGACAATGTCCTTCGTCATCTGATCGTCCTTCGACAACCTCTCGCTCCTCCCCCCGACCCTCTCTCTCTCTCTTTCTTTCTCTCCTTCTCGAGGGTCGAACACTCGAAGCTCGAACGTGGAAAAACTTCGATGAAAAGCTCGGCTTCTTGGATTTCGTTTAAATCGCCGACGAATTTTTTTCAATTTTTTTTCTCGATCGCAGAGAGCTTTATTACACGGGGTGTGTTGTAGTAGGTAGTTCCAGCAGAGGCCGCCGAAGGACGTGGTGTGGCAGGACTGTCTCGAGAATTGTCGTGGTGAAACGTGTCATCAACATCAACATCATCATCGTCGTCGTCGTCGTCGTCATTGTTGTCCAGAAGCGGCGGCGATTCAGCCCGCGATTATTACAGCGATACAACAAGGAAAATCAAGGTGGAAGGACGAAGGAGGAACCGAGAAGAGAGTACAATACCAATAGCCCGGTTCCTCCCTGTTTTCGAGGGGAAAAGGGGATTATTAATAATCATAGGCTAAATGAACTTATTCTGGCAATCGTCATGAAAGCGTAAGCGGTTTCCATTACTTTCAGATCACAACTTCCGGCATTGCAACGCTTGTGTGAAGGCAGTCGCTCTTTCTCTCTCTCTTTTTTTTTCTTTTATGGCTAAAAACGATCACGTGCTCACTCGCTGAAGGAATTGCATAAGCGGGGCGACGAGTAGCGCTCGCTGTTGCGGAATAAAGGCGTTCGAGAGCGAAGGAAAGGGGACGGATGAAATATTTCGAGTATTTCGAGATGAATGAAATCGTGGTCGTCGATCGAGGAGCGAACAGAATAGCGACGAGAAGTGAACGATAACTGTGTTGCTGTTGGTTTTTGAAAAAGAGCGTTGGTGGAAGCGTGACGGTGAAAGAATATATATGTGAACGATGTTAGAGAGTTTGGCGAGAACCAGAGATGAATTCTTGGTAAATAATAAGAAAGAATTTGAAAGAGTTTCCTCCTTCTATGAGTGTATTTTGAGTACGAGGACGACAACGCGATTGAACACGCGAATACTTGAATATTTTCGAGGCGGAGGAACGAGATATTTGCGAAACAGGTGCATCGAAATGAATAGGTGGGAGGGTGTAGATGTGTACAAGTTTTGTGTTCAGCTTTCATTTTGATTCTTGGCCAGGATATTGCTTTTGGAAACGGAGGCGACAATAGCTGCGAATGCTTTTCGGATTAATCAGAGCTTGAAGAATCGAGAATAATTAACAGCAATTCCCTTGTCGAGAAGATTGCTTTAAATTTAATTTTTCGACTTGTAAAAAAAATATAAAAAAATAAAAAACATAGTCCTCTGATCTTATGTTTCTAAAATAAAAGAAAATATAGTCGAAGATCGAGATACTTTTTAAGGCTTGTCTCTGCAAAGATTGGAAGAATAAATCCAAATTTCTACTTGATCGAAGCAATTTTTACAACAAAAAGTTACCTCTGCATAACACCGAGTAAATTTATTATCAAAATCTATATAAGTAATAAACTATGCGCATAAACTAACTTCGAGTTAGTATTCCAATTGGTCACGATGTGTCGGTTGCATTATTCAAACAAATATCATTCACACAATCCTAGATCCCCACCTGTTAATTCTCGATGGAATTAGCACTAGATCTACTGTTTATCAATTCAGAATAAGAAAACTTGTTGCACTGTGTCTGTGTGGCTCATCGCCAATTTCGTATCCTCGAATTAGACGAACTACTTTGTCTGTAAAATCTATGGGAATCACGTAAGATTGATATATTTCGATGGATTGAGTTGAATTAAAACGAAAAATAAAAAAGAATTGTCGAAGTTATTTCCTCTTGAGACGAGTTCGATAATCGTTATATCGGTTTTAAAGTAATAAAATTTTTTTATAGAAGAGAAAATGGAAAAATTATTACATGAAAATTCCATGAATGAAATGAATCATAATGAATCTATATTCAGCGATTGGATAGTTAATTTTGATTAAAATTACTTGATTTAATTAAACATTTAATATAATTGATATAATAACACATTTATTAACCGGAATTAATTGGACTTTGAAATTGTTAATTATTTTATTACAACAATGATATTATAATAAATACATAAAAAGAAATATGAATAAGCCAATATAGAATGTTGTTAAAATATAAATTATATAATTCAAAATCTTTAGTTAAATAAAAATTTTTTAAAAACGTATAATAATATTTCATTTCAAAAAACTACGAAGAGATAAAAATTATATATAAATAATTAATGAATAAAATTATCATTATTATTAACAACCATTAAACGAGCAAAATCGATCAACGTCTTCAACATCTAGTATTATGATATAACTGAAATTAATTCTTTTTTTTTATTGCTAATTTTTTTCTACTCTCAGTTAACAATGACAATAATGTTGATTGTTCTGGACGAGATTCGTTTTGTAAATTACTATTTTCGATCGAAGTTAAGAGTTTCTTTTGTGGATCATGAAAGAAGAATCCTATCTACGTAGATATCGCTGCATTGTTCTTGAATCAAGAAACTCTATATATTTCGTTACAATTACAAACTTTGAATAACTCAACAATACATATTATCTTAATTCTAACAATTTTTTATTCTCGACAAAGAAGAATACTTCACCTTATTTCAAACAGAAGAAATAAATCTAAGACATTATTTAAACGATGCTGGCCATAGAAATTTACAAATTAAAAAAAAAAAAAAAGCGAAACAACAAGAAGAACGATGATGAGACGAAAAAGAAGTATAATTCCATCGCATTATCTGTATATTAAAAAAGTTACAAGTTATATTTTCACCTGCAATTTTTTTTAACTTTTATACTAACACAAAGATCTGATCTGACTATTTCCAACTTCGTCCATCAATTCAAGCATCAAACGTCAGACATGTGCAGAGAGAATAATATCGAACAACGAAATTTCGATTGTTGCGCGTGCAACAAATCCGGGATCACAGATTACTTCGGTGGTTGTTGCGGATCGTTTCCGATAAACGTCCGTATACCATAGAGGATACTGGTTAGGCGTTGGCTCACGTTGTCGGATATACAGTATAACGGGCTTAGCTTTGACAATGGCGCCGGTGCACAGTCGAGCCACAACAAGTTGCCGTGTGACCTTAATGGACTTTCGATTGAATTCCTCCGGAGCAGAGGGAGACGGACATCTCCCGTGATGGACCACCGCATCGCACACATGCGCGTACGTGTATAAGAAGAGACGCGTTTCGATTCAGGACAAGATAAATGTCCGGTTATAATGATGATTAAGCATGGAAAAAAAGATTATTTCGATCCTTCCTTCCGATCTGTTTTTGTTTCTAACGATGAATCGTGATTGATAATTGTTTCCAAACAATTCGAGAGTTTGACCGTTGATCGGTGAAGAACGAGTGGGAGAAATCGGGCAATTTTCGTGAGTGAACAATTTTTCGAAAATATTCTTCTGGAAAGCGTAATTGTTTATAAGAAAATATTTTTCTGCATATTGGTAATCGGGTAAAAAATTGGCCAATTTCTGACTTTGTCTTAGCTATCTACGTGTTCTCTATGATAGATGGAATTTAATGATTGGGAGACTCGTCTGATATGAATCTTCATTGTTGAATTTGCGAAAATTCGTTAAGATAATCTAGCAAATACATTCAAGAATATTATACAATTATAATTAGCATAATAATAGGATTTACACGAGCTTATTGGAAATGATGACTATACATAGGATGCTTATAACGAGTCCTAATATATCTTTAATTACAACGATCCAGAGTAATTGAACTTTCCAAATGAATAAAATTAATAATTCATCTTTACCTTGAATCTTTGGCCACGATGTAATAAAATTTCCATGATAAAATAACTCGATATTGAATACAAAATGTTACGTAAATGTTGTACAGCAATTCTATTAAGTAGTAATCGTAATTCTATTAAAATCAGGAAAAATTTAAACCGCTCTAATTCCGAAGATAATAATTTTCGATTAAAGAACGAAAGACTATTAGAAACGTCGAAGTTTGCTCTTTAAAACGCTTCTTCTTTTATCCCGATACAACTTTCGGTTCCCGAGATATCCTCGTGTAAAGAAAAGATAAATTTCAATTTATCTTCACTCTATCAAACTCTATTAAAATTAGACAAAATTTGAATCGCTATAACTCCGAAGATAATGAATTTTAAACAACGAGTGAAGGATCGTTAGAAACGCGGAATCTTGTCCTTTGAAACGCTTTTTGAATTATTTCGATACGACTTCCGGTTCTCGAGATATCGTCGTGCAAAGAAAAAGGTAATTTTTAATAGTTTACCATCTCCGTCTTTGTTGCTTATTCGGCTTTCTCGCTCGGCACCTCGTCTCACTGACCTATCCCAAAGTCTAGACAAAGCGACACACGTGATTCTTGGAAGAATGTAAACACTTCCAGGAAAAGATATAGGTCACTGGGTCGCGGACCCATTCATGATCTCTGCGCTACGACTTTGAATCGTCATATCTTGACAATCGATCGAGATATTGAGACGAAACAAAAAAGGATTTTAATTGCATGGTTTCCTCTATTTCCCGACCGGGTTTCGATGATAAAATTTTTCTTTTTTATACGAAAAATCACAAATCTCCTCTTGTCGCGTTCTTACGAACGCATACGTTTTACAATAATATTAAATCTATAGATATCATTCGAATATTTTGAATGCTTGTTTTTAGCAAAATTCTTATCCGTGCGATGTTCAACAAATTCAAATTACGATCTCGTATCGCTGGCACGTAGCGAGGGCATGCAAATCGACTTACGAATTACCATTTCTCCATATCGAAATCCATATACGAATAACTTCCGTCCCTTCGATCCTGAATCACAACATTTGCATTCTTTCAATGAGAGGGTTGGGATAATCCAAAGAAGGAAGACACAAGAGGAGCGTGAGAAGGGATTGCTCTCGAGAAGAACCAAGAACTTTTCTTGGCCAACTCGATAAACTCCACGGAATCGCTCCTTCCCCTCTCCCTCCTCCTCCTCTGCGATTTTCTCGCCTCGAGAATCTGAATCCTCGACAGCCAAATCTTGGACCAAAATTCTTCTCGACCAAATAATTCTGCGAACTTGTCGATTCCCATTGTCGGTCTTTTTCTCCATCTCAAATTGTCGAGAACAGGGGGAGCCATTTCCGTGGAATGATAAAATGGAAGAAAGGAACTGAAGAGACAATAACATCGAAAGTAACGTTTAGGCGAACAGATCGAGATTGATGGATTACGATGTCGTCGTGTCCAGAGACAGAGATGTAAATCATGGAGACGATGCGTGTGACAATGAAAATTTATGCAAGAACAACTCTATGTGTGTATATGTATATATGAACAGGGATGTTGAACAGGATTCATAGATTACACGTGCTTTCTGAGTGGGGATGATGTGTGAAAAGTATATATGCACCCGTTCGTCACATCATTTTCCACGATGTGAAACATTTTCTGACATAGCACGCGTGTATATTTGGTAGAAGTATATACATAAAGAAAGAGAGAGAGATGATTCGAGACACGGTCAAGAGACTCGTAAAGAGATTCCCTCGAGGGTTTACACTGTTGGGTTTACAAGAGTACTTAATAGAAAGTTCATTTAAGAAGATTATGCGAATGTTAACTGTTTAACAGTGTGTTACAGGCCATTGAGATTTAAAGATGTTTTCTTTATACTTTCTGTTTTCAATTTACAATAATTATTAGGGGGTATTCTTAAGGTTGTTTGTCTTTCGTTATATTTTTTTAAAAGCTAAAAGAGTTCATTTTTAGATTACGAAGTTCTACAACTTCTTTCTGTTTTTTTTTTTTTTACTTATTTCTAGTAATTCTATAATCTCAATGTGATAAAAATAGAAGAAAATCAGTATCTCATTTTTGCTTTATAAGATTTATAAGATCATGTTTAACGATAAGATTTAAAAAATTGGAAACTGGCGAAAATATTAATGTAACGATTTTGTTATATTTCTTCTACCAAGTATATTTTTTCTTCAATATATCTCGAAATTGAATCGATCATGTGTAGATCAATCATTGAAAGTGTTTCGTACTAAATTCTACCCGTGATCATTTCTACAAGCTATTCTCTTCGATCAACACAACTCTACTTTCGTCGAATAACATTTACAAAACGTTCCTTAAGAGTTCGCTCTTAAAAAACCAAACCATTTCGACTAAATTCACGCAAGTGCAACACAGTTTGCCACGAGTATATTCGACGAAAATTGTCACATCGACAAGTGCAGTCTACGTGTACGCACGGTATTTCGTGTATTTTTGCCATGATCGGTGTCACGGGGGACAAACGGAACGGAATTTTCTTCCTCCGATTTCAGAGCTGGATAAAAGCGAGAGAAGAAAAAGTAAATAAAGTAATAGTGACAGAAGAGAGAAGCGGAGCAATAGCCGAAGAAAAGAAACGAAAAGTAAATAAGGAAAGGAAATATATATTTGACACGTTCATTGTTATTAAATTACTTCATACCAAATATACTTTGCACATCACAAAGATTGGTAGAGATTGATAAAAATTAAAAAAATTCTCTCCCGATATTTTAAGTTTTTTGAAAACTTTCTACTCGACATTTAATTATTATATACGTTTCATCTATATTCATCGACCGAGTTCGTGCGCAATGAACGTGTTGAAGTGGAAGCTCGTAGGGAGAAGAAAACCAGCTCCGCGTTAACCGTGGCACCGTTTTGCGAACATAGAAAAATGCGAGGAACGGATGCATTCCGACAAATTTGCACAGCCAAATCACACAATATATATATGTATTATATATATCATAGAATAGAATAATATAGACATGACAGTTAGTACAACACAGCAGCAGCCTGCAGAGCGTAAGAGACCGAGATGATGAAACGAAAAATCGAACGATCATAGATTAAAAACAGAAAAAAATATAATGGAATATATGAGTATGAATAAGAAACACACACAAATCTATATGGCGTGAAACGATAAAACACAATGGTGCTCGAGAAATGGCGGGCAACATAGATGGTTGAATGATTGGGTTAAAAAGTGAGGTTATGTCGCGCGCATGACAATTTCACAAATGACAAATGTTGATATATGTAGGAGGAAATAATAATAGTAAGAGTAATAATAATAATAATAGTAAGAGTACATCGAGGCACACACAGGTGAGATAACACGCACAATTATATGTATCATGATAAGAAGAGAAATGTATTAATGTAATCGAGCGCTGCACGTTTCATCGTTTCGTTGAACGGAGAGGGGGTGCATAACCGGTCATGGCCGGCGGGCACAACGAGCTGGCCACAAACCTGTAATGGCGATCTTCGCGGACCACTTGCTGGTACCGTCTAGAACCGACTGCTTCACCGCCGTCATGTGACCCGTATGTGCTTCCTCGTCGACCCCGAAGACTGACCTAAACTCCGACGAGACTTTCTTTCACATGAGCTGTGCCAATGGCCTAGATCTCGTCCTACCTGTGCTCCACTCTTTTCTCATTGCATTTTCCCCCGTTCTCTTTCTCCCTCTTTCGCGCGAGACACTCGTTTCTTTAACCCTCTACCCCTTTTTTCCCCCCTCTCTGTCTTTCTCTCTCTCTCTTTGTCTTTTTTTTTGCCCGTGTTTTCTTCAAGCGGTTTTCATCAAGCGTCACGTGTAACGAGCAATTGCATCGCAGAATAGTCCATCGTGTTAAAGGTAAATGGGCTAATTTCTTTCCTCGCTTAGTTCCTCTCTCTTTCTCTCTCTCTTTCTCTTTTGAAACGGATCTTTTTGTTAAATTTTATTTCAAGCTTTTTTGTTTTTTTTTTTTTTGATGGACCATGGACCAGAATTTATTTCATTCTCTGTAACTAAAAATTCTTTTATTTCCAATTTCTATTGTTTTTTTTTTGTTTTGTTATATATTTGTTAAATATCAATGCAACGTTACATGTGACGCTTTCCACAATGTTTCCCGACCAGATTCTTTTCTTACGTGTATGATTCATTCGAAAGTGATCGAATAATATTGGCAACGTTTCCAAAATTTATAAATCATTGCCGATCCACGTGCATCCAACTTTACGAACGAATATTTTTCGTGGAATGGAAAAATATTTCGGTGAGCACACATCCACTTGTAATCAACGCGTATATGCCATCGATCAATCCGTTAACGAGGTCGTTGGTTGTTCCATGGCACCGTAACTAAACTGTCCTCCATCTATTTTCGACCTTTCGAGAATCATACTGGTGGAGCTATATTGTTTTCCTTGGTTAAAATATTTTATCTACCACTTTTTCATCATTTCTTTTTTTATTAACATAAATTATTTAGATCTCTACAAAGCATTTTTAATTTTATTTCGAAATAATAATATATTTTAACGAATAAAGTGAAATTAGATAGTAGATTTTAATAAGAAGAGAGGGGTAGCATAGTCGCAGAGCCATACTGCTTTTTCATAAGTTAAAATATTCTATAATATTGAAATATTTGCAGAATCTAAAGTTTTATCTTTCTTCTTATTTATCCGATTCTATGAAACAGATAAAACTAATCTTGCTCAAAAAATAAAATATACTTTGAAAAATTTTTTACCGAATAAAGCCAAAGTATTACTATTTATTATTTCCTCTTGTCTTTTATTTCAAAACAAATAACGATCAATATTTTTAAGAATCTACCAGGAAAAATTCAATTCAATTAATTTTAAATCGCATAAATGTTACTATTTAATTAAGATGAAGGGAATAGAATTTTAAATATTTCGGAATATTTCAAAAAAAAAAAAAAATAAAATAATAAAAGAACACTTTAACTAAGGAGGACAATAGACTCATCACATAGACTCCATAGTCGGGACACAGGACAAACGGCTAAAATTTTTTTTTTTTTTTTTTTCTTTTCCTCCCCCCATTCAGAGAAGACGAGACCCGGCCTTGTGCATGATACCGAGGTTTTCGGTTCGTTTCACACTTTCATCCTCGCATCTTTTTACCCTGGCTCACAATCGCCATTGCTTTGCCACCCTTTTTAACGTTAAGGACACATTCAAAGAGATCGGTATCTTACTGTACCGGTACTGGATGTCACTGCTGGATACGGCCGCCTTCGATTCCGTTTTCTACACTTTGTATAACGTTTTCGCGATATTGTTCACGAAGTGTCGTCATTGAATGGAATCGTGTAAAATGGAGGAAAATTTGGCGGTGAAAGTATAATGCATGAAATTTAATCGTTAGAGCGTGTATGTGTATGTACGTGTTTAATTGGAATTTTTTGATTCTGAGCTTGTATTTATTTGAAATCGTGTTTTACTCATAAGATTAAATTTACGTGATATCAATATATGAAAATATATGTCTAATACGATATGATTGAAAAAATCATTCATGAAAGAAAAAAAATTCTTTTATCGCCATTAATCGTAACTTCGTAATGTATGTTGAAGGATTCTTTTAAACATTTTTCATTAATATTATTGATTGGAAAAGAGTTTTTTTTTACTATATAATATTTTTGACAGATTTTTACATCACTGAAGTGTAATTTTAAAAAAAATATAGACAAGCTTCGTCTATTAGTTTAAATAAATATTCCTTTGAACAACCGTAACTTTGAATTATAAAAAAATATTTTCATATATTTTTTATGTATATATATATATAAAAAAAAACAAATTTTAAAACTTTTGATAAAAATATCATTTATCCTATTTCATTTATTCATTTTCATTTCGCATTTTTCAGAGATCAAAACGAGGAATAAAAATATTAATAGAAAATCTGACGTTTTACTTATTTCCACTTATTTCCCCGATCGAGGCAGCTGTTTCATTAATTAACAACCGATGGAAAAGTGCAAACGTCTGGAAAAGAAAACAACTATCGTCGGCCGAGTCACGAATGAATTATCGATCGATGGACCCGATCGATCGGCCGTCGACGGAGAAAGCTGCATTAATTAACCCCCTATCCTCATTAATTTATACACCCCCGATCGCTTATCAGCTTTTATCGAGGTTTTAGATCTCGTTTCGGAATTTCGAATATTTTAACCTGGCGTGTTGAAAGAACGTAAAGAGATGATGATGCTCGAGTAAATAATAATCGAACTAGAGTAAAATCGGTGGTAATCTCATGAAAATGAAGTTTGCCCTGTCGAAAGAAGAGAAGGTAAAAAATATATCTTCCGTCGAATCAAAGATTAAAGATTAAAGATTCCGTTTAAAAAGAATTGGATGGTTGATTAATTCTCTATTTCTAACGGGATCTCTTCGTTTTATTCTTGCAAATTTTCCTTACAACAATCCAAAGATAAAAAAAAGTGTAGATTCGATTTTATCGGTTTAATTATTTCCTTCTAATTTGATTTATAAAATAATTTTTTCATTTCAAATATGTTTTAAATAGGAACACGAAGAGAATTTTCCATATTGGAATGAATGAAACGAGTCAAAAGTAAATACGGATTAAATAACAACAAATATTCAAGCTAATTAAATATTGAATTATAACATCCGTTCACGATCGTAATTTCAATAATTTCATTAAAGTACGAACAATCCGTTCATCGATCTCACTCAAAATATAACATAAAACGTAACAATAGTGATATCAGTAAGAGAATAAACATATATACATATATAAAAAAATATATTTTTCTAGTTCCAAAAAAAAAAAAAAACTAATCTAATCAAAACGAATCTAACACAATTATCGGATCGTTAATCGTTTAAAATATCGGATCGCGCGCTCGTATCACGCATCCGATATAATGGATACTGATCGATTAACTAATTCATCCTGGTATTGTCTCATTACGGGATCCCGACTAATGAGCTGCGGATCATCGATAATAGCTCTTTGGAAGGCAGCTGCATCGCTGATTAATTTCCCAATGTGTGAAGGCGTGATCAGGAAAGCCATCCTGGCGGCCGATTATCACGCGTGCCGTGGAGAATTATCGCCACGATCAATCGTGTCGAATTGTTTGCGTTTGTCTACTGAAAGTTTACAGGGGGATGGGAGGGAAGTGGACGCGAGTTTTAGCCCACTTTCTACACTTTGGAACGGCGGTAACGACAATTTTGCACCCGGAAATTGCAATTTCGACCGACCGTTGATCACTTAATAACTGATAATGAGTCCCGATCGATGGTCGATGGTCGATAGTTTCACACACGTAAGATTCGTAGAATTGTGATTGGATGGGTCATGGAAGTACATTGTGAGATAGATTTCAGAATATTATTACGTAAGGCAGTTGTTAAATTTTCATTTATTTCGATTTGATTTCTAGTATCTTGGAAATATAATTAAAATGTAATATAACAATCCTGATTACGGTGTTCTGTGATTCTTCCGTGAATATTTTCGAAGAATTTAACGAAATTTATTATTCTGATTCTCGCTATTTATCAAGAATTTTTAATTTATATTATATCCAACTTAATGTATCTCGACAAATATTTTAAAAATATCGAGGGAACGATTTTTATCACCGTTATCAAAATAAATATATTATCCCTATTTTTCTTTCGAATAAATTTTCTGCAAATGTCGTATCGGTTTTGACGTCGATATATCAGTCACGAAGAATAACGTAAATGGCGCAGACTGACAATTGTAAAGATACTATATATATAATATATGATTGATAGTGATTATCTTTAAAATTGACAAGGATTATTTTCACGATGAATTCTTCGTGATTATAAAAACAAATGCGTAAGAAAGAATTGTATAAGAGAAGATAAAGAATCTGATTCTTCAAAATGGCCGACCTCACCACTCTATATGTACATATTTCTCACGAGATTCTCGACATTTTTCGATAAAGCGAAGCTATGCATTTTGCACGGATGAAACGTAACATTCCATTGTCGTTTCACATACGTGTCACAAGTTTTCTTCCAGAAGATGAATATAAATGTATTGCGGAGGAACTAATCTGTATTCGTAAAACAAACCTTCGCGACACCGAGGGGGCGAAACGAAGATGGAACAACTTTTCATCCGTGATTAAAATATTGCGTGAAATATTTTTACAATTTTGAATATCCTGACGACATTGTGAATCCTCGATATCGATAAATCAAGATTTTGTATATTTTAAATCTAAATCTGTACGGAATAAAGTCGTTAATTCTACTCGCGATATTCTCCAGGAACGTAATAAAGAAAATCGTGGACGGATTAAGTTAAAATCTCCGGTTTAATACACTTTTGACAGGAAAATCAATGTTAACCATAGAGGTTTGTGAAAATTTTGTTATATTGAAAAAAAATTTGGACAAGTGGATTAAAAGAAGAGGAAAATTTATGGGAATATCGTTGATGAAGAAAGAATGATCGAAAAGAATTATTGCGAATTAATTTTTAGGAGAAAAGATATATTTTGAGAGAAAATCAAGCATCTTGATACTGTTGATTTTCTTCGATACGAATTTTTTTCTTTTTTAAAAAAAATACTACGATGATATGAATGATATTAAAACACTTATGAATAATGCAACAGTTATGAATATTACTTAGAAGCCTTCTTTGATTTTTCCAAGTATATTGTTATACATTTTAATGTTCCCTGATGAACGAGACTTAACGAGTTTCGCAACTCGTTGACCGCAAATGCTTTCTCAACTTCATCGATTAAGGAAAACTAGTTCCTCGTACCAACGCTTGAATCATTATGCCCGAGCTTCATAATTCAACATATGTTATTGTTTACTTTACCAAGTTTCGTTATAGATAATAGAGATATCGTGTTGTTGAGAATACAGAACTAGCAAAGTAATTTTCCAAAATATTTACATCATATAAGAATCACGTATATGTGAATATTTATCGTTTGGACAAAGTTATAAACCTTTCGATTGATTGTGAAAACGTGATATTTATATATTCGAGATATATTTTATCGTATTTTATCAACAAATAATAAAAGCTTTACAACTACACGTGTTTAATTCTGATTCTTCCATCATCTCTGTTCACATCTTTGAACAGAGAATAGACACAGAAGATCTTTCATTCGAGAACATCCATCTATTTATCTGGTCTCAAACAGACGTTGTCACTCTGTAATTCCATGTCAATATCGGGTTGAATATAAATTATGATCTCGGTAATGGAGTGTTAAGTCGCTTGCTTGAATCATTTCCAATGAGCTTCTTATCACGAAAAATGAATAACGAAGTGATAATTTCTTAGAACCGTCTTTTTATAATTTTTTGTTGAATATACATCTCAATATATAATATAACACAAATTGAATAGATTTCTTTTTATTATTAAAGAAGTTAATCTAATCAATGAATCAACTGATATGAATTTCAATTCTATTATTATATCTTTCGTTTCAATTTTCAATTTTTTAAAAATCATTTATAGTTAAGAAACTCACGAATAATCTATCTCTTTGTTCACAATACAAATTCAATTGTTTATTAGATACCTATTCTAATTCTTGCTAATGCCAATATCCAATTTTTCAAAACTTATTTATAAATAAAATCTGTAATTAAAGAATGTATCTATCTTTCCACATCCAAAACGTCCTCAATTCCAACGTCTATTCCAACTTCTAATAATCAACTATAATCATCATCAGCAAACAACCCCAAATCTCTATTTTTCCATTCACAAAATTTCATCCCACTCCAACCAATCTGTACTTTTACTCAACCCATCATTTCCCCCTCCTTTTCATCTCCAACTCGTCGAAAGAACTAAGTTCTCCAATTGTTTCACCCGACAACTCAACAAGCATGGCCGAGTTCCTGCAAGCATAATTCTTCCCCGTTTCTTAACCGTGACGAGGGACAAAAGCGTATTAGTTACAGTTCTTCATTTCGAAAAACTGCGGAGAGAGAAAAATCGTGGAATATTTTTAATTCCACTCTTCTTTCGTGGACGAGACGTTTCCACAAAAAAGAAAAAAAAAAAAAAAATAACGTCGCCTGTCGCGTAAACCAGTCAGCAAAACGGTCTAAGGTTCGCTTTCGTGGCTCTTTCGTATTGTACGACTAACCTAAATTCACCTGTTTCACTGTCGCTGCACATTCTGAATACCCGTCTATTTGCCCGCAAATTTGCTACGTTCCACGATAACTGGACTCCTCCCTCTCCCCCCATGTAAATGCGGAGGGAGGGGAAAAAAAAAAGAAAAAAAAAATAAAGTTTCGAAGCTCGAGACGCGTTTTTTGAAAACTTCGCGCCACCATTTTACTCGCGGATTGCAATTTGCGCGAATTTAGGTTCGTGGAAGTGGAATAATAGACAGGTTTAACCGTGAGCGAGATTGTTTTCCTCAGTTTTCGATTTTTGTATCGGGATTTGATGTAACAAGTTGCTAAATTTTGGAAAAGGGGGAATTTTTCGTTGAATTGTGTTTGGAATTGCGTCCAAGTGTTTTTAAATCCTTTTTTGAATTTTTGAAAACGAGATCCATTTATAAGTTCCTCGATTTGAATTTTCGGAAAAATTTGTCATTCAAGCCTTGAATTTTAATCATTAAATTTCCTTCCTTCGTAATTTTATGATCGATCCCCAAACTATATTCAGGGAAATTTGAAATTTAATTTGCAAAAGTGATCGCTTTTCGATATTCTGGCTAAATATTCAAAAAGATAATCAGGATTCGAAGACGGTTATGAAGCAGTGACCACAAATTCAACACATCATTTATAACAGTAAAATTGAGAATTGTTAATTGAAATTCCATTTCGTGTTTCGGCAAAAGCAATGGCGATGATCCAGCCATTGGATCGATCGACTATTTCTCTCTCCTGATCACTCGTTCGTTGCCATCGATCGACACTTTGTATGCTTTTTTTTTTCTTTTTTTTTTTTTTTTTTTTTCCGTCGAATCAACTATGCTGCGACAAAATGAAAAAAAAGGAGAAGAAGAGGGAAAGATATATATGCCAAGAAGAACTCACCGGATCAGCTCGAAGATCTCGGGCTTTTCTCGCTCCCTCTGCTTCATTCTCTCCTTCATCGCCGTGATGATGCTGTTCGCCTTATCCTCGGCACCGTGCTTCGAGCTTTTCTCAGCCGCCCCTGAAAAATGAAAAAGTCATGGGTGAGCATTTCTATAAAACGGTCTCTAATATTGCACGCCTCTCGATTTTTAAGGAGGAAATTCTCAGAAACTTATGTTTATATCTCATTTCGAAGTAAATTGAAACAGAATAGACGAGGTGTGCGGTTGAAAATTGTGCATGGACAAGATTGCTTCGTTTTTTTTGGAAATTTATTTCTGAATAAATAAGAAGAGTTTTCCCCTTCTCTTTGTGTATTTGTTATTATGATAATAGACGATTTGTGATTGCGAATAAAAAAGTCATTTTATTTTATATCATAATTTAAAAATGTTTGTCATCTTAAATTTCAAGTTTTATTATTATTAAACGTGGAAGTTTATGAATTTAATTTTCTTGAAAATGAAGCTTTAAATGAAAGTAAAAAAAAAAAAATTTATTCCATATTTTTTTCTTACTTTTTCATAAAAATGTTATCTTGTCACTGTGTATATCGAACAACTGTTTTCATTGATTTAATATTTCATGAAAGTTTTTCTCAAACGTAATTTAGTTAAGTGATTTATAAACAAAAGTCCATGAATTACATAATTATTTTTAATCTAGTTGATCTAGACAGATATATTCTCTTGTTGCATAACTGTACTAACGGAATACATTAACGTAATCTGATTTAATCAGTTGGTGTAGGTCAGTAACTAATTCAGCGAGAACACGTTGTTGCGTTTGGATTAAAGTGGTATTAAAAATAATTCATCCTGTGCTATATTAAATTTCAAACTGTATGGTAAATAAAAATACGTAAGATTGTAATATTTTTTTGTGTGAAATCTTTTTAAACGAAACAATATATTTTCATTGCAGATAAATCCGTAACCTGTACTTCATTCGACAAATTTAAAAATATAGGTTAATTCTCTCCGAATATTCGAAGTTAAATTTATGCCACAATAAAATTGAAATCTAAAATTGCACGTAATTTAAACTATAATTATCACTGTGTATAAATAAATTTTATTATATCGTATTTAAGAGTCTCTGCATATTTTATTTATAATCTTAGATACTGATCAGACAATAATTTTGAAATAAAGTCTTGCAAAAAGATCTTATCATCCGTGAATAAATGATTTATTTGCGAAAAAATACATTCACGATTTGTTCGAAAATTTTTTCAATTGCAATTGATCCTGCAATTAATAATCTTTTTTAAGTTCAATTAATTTTCTAAGAGTATCCTCGTACAATATATTCGCAAACGTGGCTATACTTATTAAAGAAACAACAATTATCATCGAAAATATACATTTAATCCCAATCTTTTAAATCTACTATTATTTTCCAATAACATAAAATCGTAACTTTTCTCGATTTAACTTTTATCTTCGCGATCTTTCTTTCATTATTTCGCTTCACAAGGTTTCCGAGCACGCACTCTTGAAAAACCTTCCACGAGATGCACACGTGTCGAAACGCAACAGTCGCGTGTTTCGTCGGCCGGAAGACTCGAGGAGCGTTAATTTTCCGGTGAAGAAGCTCGTTTTATCCATCTGCCCTCACCCAGACCGGAAATTATGCGTGTTGATCGTTCAGACAGAGGAGCGAAAAATCGATTTCTCCCGAAAAATAAACGGTGGCAGCCACGAAAATGGACAACACCTTCGGGAATTTGTGATGTTTCACGATAAATCGTTCGGGAGGGGGATGAAAAAAAAAAAGTCTGAATATTTCATCGATAATATTGGTTCCTACGAATAGAAAATCGATGGTCCCGAATTTGTTGCGTCGCGATGTTGGAAAAATTCCATTTGTTGGAAAAATGTTTTGAAAATTTCGAAATTGCTGGATACGAATGATGAAGTTAATGAAAAAAAAAGTAATGTTTTTTTTGATTGGTTTTTGTTTTAATTATTAAAATTAGGAGTACAAGTGATAGATCATTTCAAGATATCATTTTACAGAGTAATATTGCGATTAAAATCTTGATATCTGATAATCTTGAAATCTTGATATTATAAAAAAAATATTCACTGATATTGAAAAAAGTGAAGATGATTTAGATTTGCAATCGATTCGAAACTGATTAATTTTTTATTTTATTCTCGAATTATTGGAAACGTCTAAAAAATCATGTATTTGCATATTTTAATTCTAGTGATTTATAAAAATATATAAAATCTATATATTCGTGTAGGAAATAATTATGATTCTATTAATGAACATTATATTTTAATTATATATTTTTTATCACTTTTAAATCATTTTTCATATGAAAAATTATTCCAAGCAAGAATTATATGAAAGAAAACGTAGAATATAAAAATTAATTTTATGCTTTTTAATTGAGATTCTTTCTTTAATAGATGAGAAAGAAAATAAATTATTAATAATATATCATTACATATATTTACTTTTAATCTTTTGTCTTTAATGTACTTTTATTACTAGTATTATTAACAAAATTTCAATTTAGAATTTACATTCCACATCGATCAATATGACATTATTAATTACATTATTAATAATCAAATATCATTATTGTAATAAATTATTTCAATATATTGGTCAGCAAAGGATTAAACAGAACTTAGAATTTCATCCTGTTTTTGAATATTATTCTCATTATTCTATATAGAAGATATATTTATAACTCTTGTTTATGAACGATAATTCATTATTCTCTATAGATTTATATTAAACTTATTTCTGGTTAATTGTTGAGATACTCGACAAATAATTATACAAGACTAATTTAATCTCTGTCGAATATTAGTAATTTTCTAGTACGTTCGAATAATTAAAAGCTAAATTCACTTGATAATAAGTTGACAAGAGAACACGTAGGATTCTATTGCAAAATCATTATCAATTTCCATGTAGCCGAATTTTCCACGTGCGTTTGACAGACTTGTAAAGCTCCAATCCTGTATATGAATAATTTACATGAAATTTTAATTAAAATATTTAATTTTCATGCACGATCTCGCGATCTGATTAATAGTTTACCTCATGGTGAATTTAAATATTGATGTGCAATTAATTGCCAGTTATTTTAACAATAACAGGAGCAAATATACACGAGATAATAGACAAGTAGTGATCAATGAAATGGAAAAATAATTTGATCGACAAATTTCCTGTTTTTCCAAGGTTCTCTTCGTTAAAACTTTAATTAATGTCAAATATTTTATCGATTAGTTTATCCTTTTTTTTGTTTCTCTTATTTATACAATTATTCTTTCAACTGATTATTTTTAATCTTGTTAAATTCATTTTTAAATAAAAATTTTACAGAGTTTCATCACTTTTATAATCCCCACTTTATCTATCGTATCATTATAGAAAAAGAAAATGATATAAATGAAAAAAATAATAATTCTTCACTATTGTACATTTAATAGAATCTAAAATAAAAAAAAATTGGATATAAAAAGATTATATTCTTATCTCTTTTCTGTAACAAACAAGATTTCTTCATTTGTTAATTAATAAGATTTTAAATTAATCAAAGTAACATAAAGTACAAAAAAAAAACAAAGAATATTATAGATGAAGAGAATATCTCATTTCTATCTATTTTTTAATTAATCAACCTGTTTATAGATTCTATCAAACTACTAAAATTATTAATCAAATTAATATTATATATACATATGTATTTTTTTTATTTTACTTTATCCGATCTGCCCATCTCCAATTAAACCTATCATAAAAATTTTCTCATTTTTTTTTTACATAAACAAGATATTTTGAAATATGAACAAATTGTTAGCAGTAAATACATATTCCCCTCACCATAAACGATTTTATTGCTCCAAAATGAACACTCAAAGCCATCATTATTCTCATTCACATCCACGAAATCAACATCGCGGATTCCCGAATTTTCGCATGAATTCCATTTACCCTTCCCCCCTTCACAATTTCTACGTCTTTGTCTAGTTCTATGCGCCTCCACGTCGATGGAAATCTTGCAATCAACTCGATCGTGGAAAATTCGAGGCAAATCTCTCGAGAAAATTTTCTCCCTTATTTATCGTCACACCTAGAAAATTTCGAAAATTTCAATTCGGTTGCGAAGTTGAGAATAAAGTCACCAGCATCGAATTTTCTTTATCAAATATATTTTTTTCAACTATTGTAAATAAAGTTATAATAAAGTTTCAAAGTGATCGTTGATTAAAATAGAATATTATTATAATTCATTCTTTGTTTTTTTCGTTTCTATCATTCTGAATGATTCTGTAACGAGAAGAATTCTCCAATTTTTTTAAGAAATTAAAATACATTCGTTATTTGAAATTAATTTTAATCTCGAAATTTTAATCGATTAATTTTAATGCCCAATTCTACGTTACTATCGCCAGAGATCAATTGAAAGCTCTCCTCGTGATTCCTTCCGTTTTTCGACTCACCTCTCGTTAATTGCATCAACTGTTCTCGCTTCTGGTAATTAAGTTCGCAATGGAGGCGGAGGAGCACGGTGTAATTTTACCACCGCCTCCTCCAACGTAGCCGAGTTTAATGTCGCGACAGTTTTGTTTCGTGTGCAGATTCCAATTTATTTTATCGTTACTAGTTTAATTGGAGTTAATGGCGTTTTGTGTTACAACTCGGACAGACTCGTTTTATCCATCGGAGTGAAAATGATGAAACTGGACACGGAAATTTTTTTTTTATTAAATTTGGAGAATTGATTTAATTATAAAGCATCGTGTTTCTTTTTTGTCAGAGTTTTTTGCTGATTGCAGGATAAATAATAGTAAATGTTTTCGTAGAAGTAAGGATAAGTTATATACAAGAGGGATGAAAAAGTCAGTCGATTCGAAAATTCGAAAATAATCTCGATAAAATTAAGTAATTCTTTTCTTTGAATGGAAAATCAAATTGTTATCGAGAAATGTTTTGTTATAAATTTATCTATATTATCATTATAACCAATTTCACCGAATTCTCTCTCCTAAAGATAATATTCCATTTCAATTTACTCTAATTGCTTGCAAATACAATTAATAGAATTGCACGTAGTTTAACTAATCCGTCTAAATCACGGATTCATGGATAATCTTCAATCTGTGTTACATTAAGTACCCGACTAATCCATTATCGTTGAAATTTATTATACAATATATCACAAAGTAAAACGTTTGTTTAAAGATATTTCAACGTGTTATAAAATATATAAACCACACGCCATATTTATTAAAAAAGATCGATTAGAACTTTATAATATCCTTGCATTCATTTCCAACATTAACCGTATAAAACGTATTTAAATTATATTATTATATAAAAATTTCAACGTATCATGCATCACACTTGGTAACACAAATCTTCCATTTTTTTCCATTTAAATTACTATAAAAACGTGTGTCAAAATCCAATAAATATGGAATATCGTTCATGAATGATGAATTAAAAAATAAATAAATATATGTATAAAATAAATTACTCACTTTGCAAGCAATCCGCGTTCAGCAGGTCCTTGCACTTTTCGTGACACTTGACACCGCACTCCGTACACCGCACCCCTTGTCGGGCGATACCCCAAAGAAGGCCCTCGCACTCGTAGCAGTAAGTAGGCGACGTGGCAGTCCATGTGACGAATTTGTGGGGGGTGGTCGAGGAGATCGGGTAGATCATCGCCTGCAGCGTTTTCTTGTACACGTGCATCTTCTGCGGGGTGCAGTATCGTTGCACAGACAAGTTAGTATAAACGCAACGAAGTGAATTGAATCGGGGGAAGGTGGGATACTCTTCATTTGCAAGGATCATTCTAACGATCAACTCCGCGCTTCGCTGCTCGTTCGAAATTCGATGGTTCTTTTTTTCTGGGAGTGGTGATGAGAATTTTTTTAGATGTACTCTTTTGGTAGATTTCAGGTTATTATTCAACCATCAGAAATTCTTCTAAGAATAAATAATAAAATACTTCAGTGATTCAATCTTAAGTATTCTTTTTTTTTTAATATTATATTTAAAGTTAAGGAGTAGAGTATTGTAAAAGATATTTTATAACAATCTAAAATTCAAACTGGATCTTTCTTCTTTTTTATTTGTTCAAGTTCTATTATATAAAAACTGCTAAGTACAATATTATTAATAAATCGTTCCTCTACAAAAAAAAAAATAAAAACTTTCGTTCCGTCTGAAGAAATTATTTTTTTCAAAAATCAAAATTCTCGATTCCATCGATTTTCGTTGGAGCAGAGGATGCGTCGAAGATGTCGGCATTCGCGCCAATTAACGAAGAGAGTGCGACCAGACACGGATCGAAACGGGTTCTCAAAAACTACCCCAACGTTCTTTCTTCTTCCACTATGTATCAAACTCGATACAATCCTTTTGCAATATTTCCAAAATTCAACAACAAACAAACAAACAAAAAAAAAAACTACTTCATCCATTTTTATCCTATATAGTTTTCGAAACCGTGTCCACAACACTCTCTTCCACTACCTCACAATCATCCCTATTATTCCTATTCGTTCCTCCTATCGTGAACTCACCTTTCCGTGTGAAACTCTTGCTTCGTTCTCATGCAAGATCAAAGGTACAAATATATATATATACTCACTCACTATATATATATACATATATATGTATACATATACTGTATGCGTGTGTATGTTTACAGTCAAATCGGTGTCATTCATTCGAAACGTCACGCTAGCTCTCGTATATAATTACGCGGACAATCATAACGTGCCAGAGGGGAATTGGTGTGCCTGGCGAGACCTAATTACATACGCAATCCTGTGTACACGGATTAAACAAAAGGGGGGGGGGTAGGATGGAATTTCCACGGGGTTGTTGCTGTTGTTGTACGGTTGGTTTGGTTTTTGGAATGTTCATCACAAATCAAATTTATATTCAAGAATGTTCGGAGATTCTCAAGAGGATTCTCTACTACTCGCTCGAAATGTACGATGCGTTGTTCATGCATCTTGTCCTTTCGAATTTCTCACATTCTAACTTAAAAAAGGTGGAGAAAGGAAAGGGTGGCGCAAGACGTATCGAAGGGGGCTTTATTTTTTCTTCTTTTTTTTTTACATGTTTCTCAACGCGTGTGCGTCTGCGCTCGCGTCGATCGCATTTGCGCTGCCTGTGATCACGATTGTACGTGGGTGGATAGTACACGTTGCGTAAATTTCACGATGACGAAGGAAGGAGTGTGCTTGCGGGTGTACATATTTGTTGTATCAAGGAAGAAGAGTGGAGAGGGAGATATGTTTGATTTTGCTTCACTTGGAAAAGATAATTGTTTGCGGAGATCTTCATTTTGTTAACTTGTAAAGGAGATGGTTGTAATAGTAATAGTTATACCATGCACTTCGCGCATAATAGAATAATTATATTCCTTTCAATTAATGAAAGGTGAACTCATGTCTCTTTATTATTTAGAGATATATCGTATTTTCTCTCTATCTATGTTGAAATTTTTAATAAAATTGTAATAAGTTTGAGATTGGAGATAATTTTTCAATGATTCTTCGCTTGATCTCGAAATTTATGCAACAAAAATTCTTTCGAGATGTAACATATGCAGTCGGTCATAAATATCTATTCTTGATTTAATTTAATTTTACGGTTTGTACATAAAAAAATAATTTATCTTTTCACGAGAATTCTCTTTGAAATCAACTTTTAAATTTTTGTTATTTTTTCATATTTTTTTTTTCCGGGTAATGAAACAGGTAATTGTTTTACGATTTAAAATTTTGTTTTACAACTCTTGTACAATTACGAGGTTATATATATATTAAAGATTTCACACGAAACAGAATTATCATTGATTTTTACTTTTCATTTTGACTTTTGAATTATCGAAAGAACAACCCAAGATATCCAAAATCAATGCACGTCGCGCGGCAAATGAAATTCGCCACGTGATTCAAATATTTCGAAGAAGCTACTGCGAAAAGTAACTCTTTGCTTTTTATTTTTCAGAAAAATGAATTTCATATTTGACGTGCACAGGCAACACAGATCGATCTTCCTAAAATTCGCGCAGTGATAGGAGCGCTACGAGGAGAACATAGGATCTCTATTTCTTTCGTGTCTTCGTAGGGTAATAGAACGGGCTCGAGGATACTCGAACCCTCGTCCCCTCGTTCTTCTCTGCACGATTTTTATCTTTCTCTCGTCTTTCGACACTTTCGAAACTGACACTTCCTCGGTTGGATGATCGACGAACGACAAAAACGTTTACTGGCCACATTTCTCTTGTGGCGAAAAAAAAAAAGAAAAAAAAAAAAAAAAAAAAAAAAAAAAAAAAAAAAGGACCTAAAAAAAACCAAAAGATTTTATTTCTCCAAACCATAGAAAAAAATTTTTTTTTTTTTTTTTTTTTTGCTTCGAATAAATCGATATAATTTTAAATAAAAATTTCATCTTCCAACGTTTCGAAAATAACGATTCAGACTCCCGTTCCATCGAAATAGCCTGCAAATACTCGAAGCAAAAAAAAAAAAAAAAAAAAAATTTTTTTCTATGGTTTGGAGAAATAAAATCTTTTGGTTTTTTTTAGGTCCTTTTTTTTTTTTTTTTTTTTTTTCCCCTCTTTTCTTTTTGGGCAAAAAAAAAAAAAAAAAAAAAATTTTTTTCTATGGTTTGGAGAAATAAAATCTTTTGGTTTTTTTTAGGTCCTTTTTTTTTTTTTTTTTTTTTTTCCCCTCTTTTCTTTTTGGGCAAAAAAAAAAAAAAAAAAAAAAAAAAAAAAAAAAAAAAAGAAAAAAAGGAAAAAACACAACAACAAAGTTTTTCCTATCGATTCGATGAATGTAATCCTTTGGCTTTGTTTCGACTCGCTTTTCTTTTTTCCTTTTTTTTCAACCAAGAGTTCGAGAGAAAGAGAGAGAAAAAGAGATGGAGGGTGAGCACACGTTCTCTAGATGTCGTATTACTATTGGAAACGCTCTGCAAGGGGGTGTAAAAAAGCATCGATCCGCTAAAAAGCACTATAAAGGTAATGTCGTGAGTTCAGGATGTTCCACATATTCGTTCCATGTTCGTTTTTTTTTTTTTTTTGCTTCGAGTATTTGCAGGCTATTTCGATGGAACGGGAATCTGAATCGTTATTTTCGAAACGTTGGAAGATGAAATTTTTATTTAAAATTATATCGATTTATTCGGCGGCTATTCTTATTTCGGAAAATGCTGCTACGTTGTTGCATATATATACATATCTCTTTAAATCAGATCCTCCCGTGATCCTTTAACCCTTATCTTTAACTGACTTTCATAGACACAATGGAATCCTATCAATTGTACAACACAGATAGATCTTAACCAAGTCAAATTTTGAATCTTTAAATTGTGATAGAAGAACATGCTCTTCTTTCGATTTAAATTTTCAGAAATAAATTTCAATATACCGAATGATCGAATAAATTTTTTGATAATAAATAAGATTTTCCAATTCTTACGTGCGTTTAATTAATTCATCCAATTGGATGAATCATTCGATTTTATAAACGAATTCAAATATTTCCAATTTTTATCCGATAATTTACTTATTAGCGATGAAAGGATAAAAAAGATTTGATGAAGAGGAATTCGTCATCAAACGTTTCGCAAATCATGAATGGATATCGGCGGCTATTTGCAAATACACGACGAACATGAGGAACATCCGACACTCATGACCAGGAATCGGACTCTCCTAGCTCTATCCTAATTTATACTCGGTTTACATGACCATTGTAGCATCTCATATCCGCGAGTAACCTACACGTGACCCACATACATATACACACATCGCGATAATACCGCACGTTTCAACCGCTACGTGGCGCTCACGTTTGGCAATGCTCGCGACGAGTGTGTACAAATACTTATTATGCAGATATGCGATATATTCGAAACGTTCACCCTAGCCGCTAAAGAGAGATAGAGAGAGAGATAGACAGAAAGATAGAAAGAAAGATAGAAAGAAAGAGAACGATCTCGTCTAGATTCGCTACGAATTTTGCTTTTTCTCGCAGAACGTGTTTCAGATTAGAACAGAAAAAAAAAATAAGTAGAAAGAGACAGAAAAGATAGATAGAAAGAAAGAGAAGAAGTGATAGAAGTAAAGCAAAGAAATAGAGAAAGGAAGAAAGAAAGAAAAAGAAAGAGAGAGAGAGAGAGAAAGAGAGACAGGTTGGGCCACACTTACGTGAAAGAAAATAGCGCGTAAATGAGGATAAAATGCAGCACAGTTCATGTGAAAAGAAAAAAAGTTATCAGAAAAATAATTATAGTTTAGTTTAGCTTCGTCGGCGAGCTATCGTCGCTGGATAACGCTTGGATATGTTTATTTTGTTTATTATTTCGTTATCGCTTAAATTTTATGATGACGCGTTTCTTAATATGCGTGTTTGATTACAAACAATCATGAATTTTCGCCTGTTATTCATCGTTACAATAAACATGGGGAATAATTCGTTTTCGGTCGCGCAAAATAAAATTCGCGCCACTCGACACCATTTTCAATATGGCAGTCGATCCTTAGAACCGCTAGATCCTTCTAATGACGTTTTCCTGAATGTGAATCTTGCTTCTTAAAATTCTGTCGATAAAGCGTCTTTCGAGATTACGTAATTTTTATTTAACCTATTTTTACTTTTCTCAGCTCGCCGTGATTGAAATGTTATTCCGCTTAAAATTATTTTTAAGTATTTCTATACGACACACAGTTCGTTTTAATTATAATAAAAGCGCTTAATTATTTTTCAGAGTGATGAAGATATGAAAAAGTGAATTTCTTTTATAGATTTTTTTATTTTTTTTTTTATTTGTTAGGAAAAGAGAATAAATTTTTGTCAGAAATATTGTTTAATTCGCGACCAAGTTATTACGATTTGCTTTCAGAATTTAACGAGTTGGATAATATGCGTTTTTTGTATCTTTGAGAGAATTTTAAATATAAAAATATTTAGTTTTACTTAAGATATTATTGTTTGGTTAATCTGTATTAAAATTTTCTAATAGAGTTATGAGATATTTATAAATATTAAAAATGAATTAAATATTTCATCTTTTATACCTTCATCAGACGAAAAAATAATAAAATTTATACAGCTTATTTTTTAAGTATGGAGAATATTCTTAATATTTAGTTGAAGAAAATTTATTTTTCTTAAAATGAACATTTTATTTTCATTATGAATTATATAATAGCATTATAATAATTTATGATAATATTTGAAATACATACTAATATATATTACTCATAATTTGAAATGGCAAATATAATCTTTATATACATATTTTGTTGTCAAGTTTTAGCATAAAATACGAACAATTATTTTAAAAATTCTCTCTCAAAATTGAAAAATAATTTTTAAAAAAAGGAATACGAATATCAGAGATGCAAAAGTAAAACCATATCAATTTTTCTCTAATTTAATGATGAAATGTTAGCAAACATATTTCATTGAAGCTCAAATTTCAAGAAATTTCATAATATTTTATACCTTGCCATATATTTTCTTGCAAATTCAATACAATTTTTCTCTTTTTTCTCTGAAGTTTATCAAAATTTTAGAAATTATTTCAGGTTATTCTCATTTTTATTCACATTCATATCAATTTAAATAGTTAATATAAAAATTTTTTTATTTTTCTTTAATTCTTTTCTAAATATCGTGAAATATTTTTCCAAAGAAAGTTTCCAAACTCTACAATCTGTTCTAAAACCATAAAAATAAAAACTTATAATTCCATACAATTTAAAAGAAAATATACCCTAATCCTTTTAACTTTTTTTTCCAATCACCTCAATCTTTTCTCCAAACTTGAAAAAACAATCTGTGCAATTTATACCCGCATCTTCGCGCATTATAAAAATTTATCTAACGATCTTCGATAACGCATCAAGGTCGCCTATCGTCCTCACGCGATCCTCCAATCAATGTCGAGGAGACTTCTCGTCGTTTTTCTTTCTTTTTATTTTTTTTATTTTTTTTATTTTTTTTTTTTTTACGACACTCGACGAAATCGACACGATCGAATTTCATCGCGTTCCAACGTGCTATTCCGCGAATGATCCACGCTAAGATTGACTATCAAGATTCTTCTAAACGAGCTTCATTCGCGGATATTAAAAAAAAATTTCCCGACCAGTGAGAGGAAGTTTTAATTTCACTTCGCTTCCTCGACCCTCGACGTTTGCGCGGGAAACGCTTCCTTCATTTCAAAACAAATCTAAACATTCCAGGAACATTCGATTCCCTGGATTCTTTCCTCTCGATCGCGTTGGCAATCTAAGTTTTGCCTGGATCATCTTTCGTGTGTGTGTGCGTGTGTGCGTGTCGCATAAAAAATGTTTCTATTGTATCATTTTCATATATACATTATCACGATAAATTTTCTAATTTTAAAATATTTTATGAATAAATAAATAAGGAATTGATATTAGAAAATTGTAAAAAGAAGATAGGAAACTGAGATCGATCGATCCAAATGTTATACCTCAAAAATTTATCCTTATACGACAAAAATTTGATCCATTTTTCATTCTTTATCTATTTATTCTTTTCCCCTTCTTATTTATATTTACTACTATAAAATAACATCGAACGAGTTTCGCAAAGACATCTAACGCTTAATAAAAAATTACAACGATTTGAAAGAAAATTCTTTTAATCTCGATCCAGAGAAAGTAAATCACGTTTTTCACGCGAAGAACATATATTATAATTTCAAAAATTACGATCGTTATAAAATATTCAAATTAGTTCTCGCCGTTATGTATAAAGCGATTATAGATTATTTTATATACGAAATAGGAAACGCGATAGATGACGATGATGGCTGAAAAAGATATATGTTAAAGGACGAATTCTTACCAGCTCCTCGTCGTTTAAGGTCGCTCTTGGCACTGCCGAGGTTAGACCAGCCGCATTCCTCTTGGTCGCCGCCATTGTCTAAGAAAAGATAGAGAATTAATTCTCGTCTGATTCATAAGGGACGATGTCGTTCAGTCTATCTATTGTGTAGACAGAGATAAAGAGCGAGGAAGAAATGAGAATGACGAATTAGGAAAAGAAAATAAGAACGATGAAGAATATAAATGAGAGTAAGATTGAAGAGAAAAAATGATAAACGTGAATATATATATTTGCACAACGAGAGTATTATATAAAAAAGATACAGATCGGTTTTCTTTTCTTCGATTTCACTGAACGATTAAAGAAAAGAAAAGAAAAGAAAAGAAAGGAAAAGAAAAATGATAAATAGATGAAATAAATCGTACGTATATAAACGTGATACCGAGAATTACATTTGGCATAGATCTTTCTTGTTCCATTGATATTTTGTATAAAATGTGTACAATAATAAATTCTGCGCGTTGTTGAAACGTAATTGTGTGTAATGGAACATTGAAAAAAGAAAAAAAAAATTTATAAAGAAACGTATCATGCCAAATATATTATCGAGATATTTGTTATTTACAAATGTTATTTACAGCCACGGTAGATGTGTTATTTACATTGGCTTGTTTTCAAAGCCGTGCCTTCAGCATTTTTGTCGTGATCAGAGTAAAAGCTTCTCGATATCTAACGTAACAGATAAACTTTAAAGCAAATTTAAAGAACGAACTTGAAAAAGAAGATATTTCGATCAAGTGAGATTCAATGGGATCAAATATTAGGAAAGAACAATATTTATTAACAATTTCCCGAATAAACCGATATAAATCAATCGTAAAGTGAGATATTCGATTCTATAATTCGATAATAATAAACGAGCGTGAAATTTCATTCAATAATAATAAACATTTCATTGTATTTAACAAACATTGCGTAACAAACTCGACAATATTATATAATATTATTCGCATAAATATCACGAGAAACACGAAGATCGAGAAACTCTCTGCTCGAGAACGAATTCGCAACGTTTCGTTTTATTTGAAACCAAAGAAACACAAGTATTATCATTGATAAAAGACACTTAGAGAAATGTAGCAGAAATATATGCTAATATAAATCAGCCCCATAATTGAATGTACATGTACGAAATAGAAATAAAAAATGGAACGAACGCGTGAACGATATGGAGGATGTATAATCCGACAAAACTCGATGCAAAGTATATTTATAAAATATATACACTGAAAAAAAAAATAGATAAAAAGACAATGAACAATAAAAATCATAACTATGAAAAAAAGAAAAGTAACGAAAAAAAGGGAAGAGATATAAGAATAAAATGCAAGGGATGATGGTGAAAGGCGAATAGCGAGATAAAGGTGATGAATCTCTAGAGAATCTAATCCAATTAGCATATTGGCGCCTGGTTTGGCGCACAGTTGGCTAGATTTCAATTAAGATATTATGCACGGGGCCCCGTGCAAGTTGCATGCGCTACTGTCTTGCCTCTTTTGGACAGACTGCTAATTCGGAGCAACTAATTTCGCGCCTCATCTATAATATATGCTCTCACTCTCTATCGGTTTTTTCTACTTTTTCAAAAGCGTGTGTGTGTATTTACAGGCATTTTATACACGGGGCACCGTGCGATCTCTCTTTTCATCTTTCTTCGAATACAAATTGCGACGCATATTTTGAATTATACAAGGAATACTTACTTACAAAAGGAAATTATTGTAATAATCATATGTCAATATTTTTTTAATTGGACACATTCTTGTTATCGTTTTTCTTTTTGGGATAAATCGTTTTAACAGAATTATGGATCTGTTATATTTTTCTTGGATTTGGATATTTTTCTTTCTTTCTTTCTTTCTTTTTTCTTTTTTCTTTTTCTTTCTGTTCTTTTCTTGGAGGATAATTTTGCTGTTCCTTTCTCACTTTTTAAAAATTAAATATTATTTGTTGAGAAAGAAAAGAAATAATTATTAGAGAGAGAGAGAGAGAAAAGAAAAACGGGAGGAAGAATTTATTAAGAGATGTACTCGTTTCGTATCTTCGAAACTGTTTTTTCTTTCTTTTTCTTTTTTTTTTTTTGAAAGATTTAAAGACTTTTTACTCGGCTAACTATTAAGAAATTAAGAGATCCTTGTTTCGCGTGTATTAAACAGATTTGTATGTTCATTATAGGAATAGGGATATATTTCCCTCGAATCTTTTTACAATATTTCTTATAAAAATTTTCAATTTCAATTTCACAAATCTTCGTAATGAAATTTTGATTTCTAAAATTAATATATAGATTATTTAGCTTAAATATCTATGAATTTTTTATCTTTAATACACGCTTAAAACCACAATCTCCAAACATAAACGTATCATATTATTTATAACCTACTAATTACTAATATCTGCTCTACCCATACATGCGATCATCGTGGCGAACATTCTTTACGCGTGCAGGTACACAGAAGATTAAAAAGTATTAGCAAAAATAAAATCGACGATCCAATCGTGTCCCGACAACATCATCGATCTAAAACTCTTCTCTGCTACTTTTCAATCAATTTCAATCAAAATGTAGGGGGAACGAAAGTAGCAAAATTTGAAAAGAATTTTGTCGAATTTTTTCAAGAGTGTTATCGCAGACATAAATAGAGCATAAATACACGAGCAAGAGAACAAATTGAAATACAAATTGCGGACAATTGGCGAATGATTAAAAAAAAATTTGGTCGCGAGCAACGCTTTCCTTTTGGAACGCCATTCTCTCTTTGTTAAAATTACCATCCTTATAATATAATTATATCGCGAGACAAGTCTGTAAAAATTACTTGATCCTTTCCTTAGGTTAGAAAATATTCTTGTGAGTGATTAAAGTAGTGAGTAGTTAACGCAGTGACAAAATGGCGATCGTTGTTCATAGGTAGAACGTTGCTCGTGCATTTAAAAAATAAATAATCGCGCGGAAATAAACGAGAAGGAGAAGGCAAGCGAGTATATAATAAAGTATCGCAGATGCGAACAAAAAGTAAAATCGAGCAAAAATCAAAGGTGAGAAAATAATGGAGGAAAATAAAGAGAAAGAGAGAGAGAGAGAGAGAAAAAGGTGCAATATCAATGCATACAAGCTGAAGCATGCGCTACGTACGGCGAAACAAGCCTTTTTATTTAAACTTCGTTAAGGAGGCATTTAATTAGTACCTTCAAGACCTGGAGGTAGAGTTTTTGAGATTTTTTGAGAGGTTTTTTTCAGTGAGTGGTTTTGTTTTTTTCAGGTGTTCAGGTGGATACAACAACGGGCGCCACAGAGAACAAACAAAGAAAAATGGCATTATATGCCGGTTAGTACGTGTATCAATTGCAGCATCTTTCTAATTAATTTTTCTTTTTTCTTTTTTTTTTTTTTCTCTTCTAATACCTCGTACGTTATGGATAACAGATACATTTAGAGATTAGAGATATGAGAGAGGAATGGAATAATAGGCGTATCGATCTTTCCACCGAGATGGATAAGATAACCTTTCTCGAAAATTTGCACGTCAAAAACTGGACCGATTCATTCTCGTTATTTTACATAAAAATGCGATCTAATATGTAAACTGTAGCGTGATTTTTATTCAAAAATCAACACTTTTCAGATTTATTATTATTCCATCTCGTTGAATTTGAAAATCTAAAATTGCTGGATCCGAATTGTACATCCCTCCACCCCCACACACGTAATTTCCCCTTCCGAATATATCGAGAATTCCATTTAAACGCGAAAAATGAACATCGAAGTGATCGAAAAGAAGCGAAGACCCTGCCCCGGAACTCGGTTTCCACCAATTTTTCGAGGTTCTTCATCATCGATCGCCTTCGAGCTTTTGTTTCCGGTTCGACTGGGCGGGACAATGCACTTCTTGGATCGCGGAGCTCCAAGGACCAAGGTCACGACGTTACACAACAATCAAGAATAAAAGAAGGAGAGAGAGAGAGAGAGAAAGAGAGAAAAAAAAAATTGTCGAACATCGAACATATACAGGGGATCACAGACAGACGAAGTCGAGATTTCTAAAGAGGGTTGAAAATTCGAGCAGACTCGAGGATGGACGGATAACTTCGTGGAAGGAGAATAATTCCATCCTCCTCGAATCTTACTTATATCAGAGAAAAAAAATAAAAAAAAATGTATTATCGAATGCAAATTCATTTGGAAATGAAATTTTCGAGAAATTTTCTTGAATTATTATTTTTCGTTATTAATATAGTAAATTAAAATTGAATCGTAAGAGGATTATTATTATTTTCGATATGATATTCATCAGTGAAAAATTTTTTAATAGTAGATTTTTAAATAGTAAGTCTCGAAAGTTTTATTTCTCGAATGTATTTGCACTCTAATTTCGCCGAAGTCCATCCGCATCGATTGCACTAGACTTCACACAGAACATATACGCGATTAGATCGAGCGAAAATCGATATGTACTTTTCATTAGTGGAACTTTGTTTGGCATTGAGAGAAAATTGAACGTTAGGAAATTATAGTTCTATAGAGTTATTTCTCTAAGTATTGAAGATTGTATACATAAATTGGCATGTTTTGTAGGATAAAATATATGTTAAATTAATGTTGTAAACGTATATTGATTAAACGTATTTCATTATTTAATTCGATTTTATTTTCTCTCTTAAATGAATATATTATTCTATATTTAATAATATAATAATTATTTTTAAATGTATATTTTGTAATTTTAATATAATGATATAATTAAAAACTTTAATCAAATATTTTTAAATAATGGCAGATTCAAGATTTTAATTTACTTTTAAGTTAAATTTAAACTAAATTACGTTGCTTTTGTTTGCACATTTGTAGAATAATAAGAGAGAAGCATTTAAATTAAAAGATAGAGTATGATCATAATATATATATATATTTTTTTTCTTTTTTTTCCCCTTACTTATTTTTTACCCAAATCGTTAAATATATTCTGTTCCTTTTTTTTATCTTTGTAAATTCATGAGCAAATGGCATATAAAATTTAACCAACATCGAGGGATTTTATCTTGGTTTTCCACAAATGCAAAATTCTCCCTTGCATTTTCTTTATTCGAGATATAAACGGTTAAGTATTAATATTACCCTTGACGCATAAGAAGTTGAGGCACGCATTTGCATGGTTCAAATAATCAATTATGAATGATGCAAAGATAACTTTCCTCAAAGTCGTCTTTTTTTAGAAATCGTAACGTCTTGCTTCACTCGCAGTGTAAAAAATTTCAAGTATTATTATCTAGAGAATAAATTATTTACAAAATTTAAAAAACGTAAGATATATTTAAAATAAAATAAAAGTAATTAATCAATTTCTTTTACAATAAAAAACTTTGAAAATGTCCTTTTGAATTTTTAAATTGATATAGAAAATAGTTACCATTTATGTATTAAATTCTTTCCATTTTAGATTTGACAATTCAATATTATTTCATTGACTTTAATTCTGACTGAAATTCTAATTCTTAAATGAATAAATATATAAGTATAATTAGTTAATAATTATGTGGCGCTAATATCGCATCACTAGAGACCATTCTGTCATCATCATAATTTCAAACTTTCATTAAGCTCGTTATAAATTTAAAACGATATTTATAACGATAGAAATTGATTCCAAATATAAACAGCAACAAAAAAAAAAAAAAAGAAAATTTATCATGTGTCAACAAAATGTCAAAAATTAATTTCACAATTTAAATAATTAAAATAATTTAAGTCTGACCGAGTTACTTTGTCCCATCTCGTGCCATGTTTTTTTTTTCAAAAAGCTACGAGAAACATAAATAATTACAGTAATTGAGTAATGAGTTTCTTTTTTTTTTTTCTCAAAGTCAAATAAATATTTCTGCTTTTAATAAACGAATAACGATCGGGTCGCGCTTTTAAAAGTTTCGTTTAAGTCGTCATGTGAACACGCAAAGCTTTCCAGGACCAGCAATGGCACGTGTGACGTAAGCTCGCCGTTTTTTGAACGTCCTCTCGAGCACGCAGGTAATTACATGCCAGGCACCGTGTTGGATACAGAATTCTCGTTCGAGCATTTCCACGCTCGGTTTTCCTCGCAATTAACATATTTTTTTATGACACGAAATCCCATTCTCGAGAAATTTCTATATAATTTTCTCCTTGTGTCGGATGGAATGAATTATATAAATAAAAATTATTACAAATTGTTACAGGAAGAATATATCGTATCGTGGTGATTTTTGAAATAATTTCGTGAAATCTTTTAATATAGAACGAAAAAAATGTTTTCTTCGTGTTCAAGTAATATTGCATTGTATGATAAAATAAATGATTGAAAATATCTTGTGAAATTTCTGTAACTGAATTTAAGATAGAATCGAGAAATTTTCTATGAATTTGAAATTTTATAATGAAATTGAAAAGTTAAAAGTTCATAGATAAATTATAGAAATAAAAATTTTTGAGAAAGAAATGTAATAAATCTTTAATTTGAAATGACGATGGAATATATAAAGAACGAATAATCGATAAAATTTTTTCGAATAAACAAATAGTAAAATATTTTATTGCGAACAAAGAAGAAAAATAAAATAAATATTTTATTTGAATAATAGTTTGTTTATTTCATACGATTTAATCCTACTTTGAAAAAGCATTGCGTAGAATGTTCAACATTTAATTTTTAACAAAGATTTTTTTAAAATTAGAACTTTGTTATTTTACGTTCGAATAAAATCGTATTCAATTACATTTTATTATTAATTTCGATTGCAGAGCTTCGTAGTATACAAATTTGACATTTTTATTTTTCGACAAACATTTATTTTTGAAATCGCTTCAGGCGAATTTTTATATTTGCCGTATCGTATGTGACTCTTTTTTTTTTTTTTTTTTTTTT